CTTCTTCTTCTTCTTCTTCTTCTTCTTCTTCTTCTTCTTCTTCTTCTTCTTCTTCTTCTTCTTCTTCTTCTTCTTCTTCTTCTTCTTCTTCTTCTTCTTCTTCTTCTTCTTCTTCTTCCTTCTTGTCACTATCTGTATGAGAATCCCTACTCTTCCTTTCCCTCAAAGCCCTCTCATAAAGCAGTATAGTCAAGCAAAACAAAATTTTGTTGTATTGTTACTATCTGAAAATATATAACTCATTCTGCACCTGTATTCCATTACCTCTTCACCCAGTCTTCCAAAGGCATGATTGTCCATTTCCTCTTTCAGAGTCCTTAAAACCTTCAGAGTTCTTGTCTTTTATATTTACACAAAATGAATTCAAAATAAATATTAGCTATTTAGGGAAGAAGAGTACTAGCAGCTTTAAGAATAAAAAAAATCATGTACTATAGAAAATTACTCGAGTTGAGTTTTGAAGAAAACGAAGAGTGTCTAAGAAACTATGAGTAAAGGAGTGAGTTTATTCTAATCATGGGGGATAGCCACTGTCAAGTTACTGAGATGTGGCATGGAGTTTTGTGTATGAAGAACAGCAAGAAGGCTAGTTTTGCTGGACCATGGAATGAGTGGAGAAAAAAATTGTGTAATAAGATTGGACAGGTAGATTGGAGTCGGGTTGTGAAGACTTTTTAATGTTTTAAAGGCAATATAACAACAACAACAACAATTACATTTTAAGGTTTACAAAACACTTTACATATATTATCTCATTTTATTTTTACAACAACCCTGGGAGAGAGGTGTTACTCTTATCTCCATTTTATAGATCAGGAAATTGTGAAGTAACTTACCCAGGGCCACACCACTAGTAAATATGTAAGTCCAGATTTGAACTCACATCTCCTGATTTCAGACACAATGTTCAAAAGTGTATCCTCAAAATAGTCATTGTAGAGAGAGCAAGTATTATTATCCCTGTTTTATGATGAGTCTCTGTGAGTTTGTTAATTTGTCCAAAGAAATTATCAAAGCATCAAAATCAAAACCTGAGGAGGCATTTTTAATTGCATTTCTTTCCCCCTTACTTAGGATAATCAACTTTTCACTGGTTTTTGAAGAAAAACTTTTTATTTCATAATGTACCTTAAAGAGTTGCTACTGGAAAGAGTCAGAGACTAAACTTAAATTCAGCGGGCTCCCTTTTTTTTTTCAATTTATCAAAAAATTGTTGGGTTTCCTCTAATGTCAAAAAATCTCAGTTCTTTTAAATGCACCATTCCTGATCACTTTAGACTGGAGAAAATATCTATCTTATCAGTATTTGTGGCCATTCCCTAATGTCAAATGTCAAAACTCTTAGATGGTTTTAATCTTTCAAAGATGCATCCTTTGTTTCTTTAATTTCTTTTTCTTTATTGGTAGATGGATTTGATGCTTTTACCAGGTTCCTTAAAACTGAATTCAGTGAAGAAAACATTGAATTTTGGGCAGCCTGTGAGGATTTCAAGAAAAGCCAAGAACCCCATCAACTGTTCCATAAAGCACAAGCAATATATGAGAAGTTCATACAGAACGATGCTCCACAGGAGGTATAGTAAAAAAGAAGAGAAATAGAAAAGAGTTGAAAGAGGGGGAAAGGTCATACAAATCTAAAAGAACTTCATAAAAGTTGCATCAGTGAAAACCCACTTGGTAAAAATGAATACATAAGGCCATCATACACTCTACTTCAAAGTTTAGAATTATTCTAGATGAATAGTGGTTATATAATAATATTTTCAGGAAGTACACAGGTAAATACATACATACTAAATATACTAAATGCCCTTGTGCAAATACATGTGTGTGTCCATTTGTGTATATCTATAAACCCCTATATAGATATATACATCCAAGCACACATAAACACACATTGTGTGTAAATATATATGAGGCAATATGCCAGGGTCCAGTCTTGAGGGCAGGAATATCTAGGGTCAACTCTCGCCTCTTCTGCATACAACCTAGGTAACTACCAATATTTAAACATTTTGTGCCAAAAATAACTTTCTTAGACTTGAAGTTATAGATTAGGTTTTGATCTACATAAGCGTAAGGAGTTTCCTCAGCCCTGCATCTCTTACACTTAAGAGCATAATTTATTTTTTTAAACATACTATTCCATATATATACATATATATGTGGAGGTCACCTACACTTATATATACATTGCATATACCCATCTTCCTATATAGCTAGAGTTTAAGTTAACTTGCCCTATCAATATTTACATGCATATGTAAATATATACATATATGTCTATCTTTAGAGATAAAGATAGAAATAGAGAGATGGATGAACAGATAGGTAGACATCTATATCAATCTAAACACTGAAATAGTGGATGTAGTTATATAGAATGATGTAAGATAGATGATAGACAGACTGACAGGTGGACAGACAGTTTGGGCAGGGTACATAGAACTAGAAAATTTATTCTACATTTTCTCATTCTTAGTTTTGTATTTTCCAACCAAAACTTTCAGACTCAAGTTTCTCCAAAATATGTATACAAAGATGTACTGATTCAATTTCAGTGTATCAGGCTTATTGGTATCTTTGATTTCCTACTTAGCTCTATATTGAAAATTTAATGGAATCATAAAAATTAAGAATTTAATTTCCCACCTGATGTAGAAATATTTTCTACAAGAGCTGGCATAGAAGTGACAAGGGCCTTATATATTTGTATGTATGAGCCTATTGTGTATATGATATTATATAATGACATTATATACATATATATATCATATATGCCTCTAAATATCACAAATTTGAAACAATGACTGTCAGAGATTAGAAGTTAGGATGGAACATTGTGATGAAGAAAGAGACTCTAAGCTTTGTAATATGCATGTGTCTATTCTTCCTACACCAGGAATACCTACAGGTAGCTAGGTGGCATAGTGGATTGGACACTGGACCTGGAGTCAGGAAGATCTAAGTTCAAATCTGCCTTCAGATATTAACTGTGTGACCTTGGTCAAGTCACTTAACTTCTGTCTGCCTTTTTTCTTCTAAAGTTGTTGTGAAAATCAAATGAGAAAAATTTTGTAAGATGCTTTGTAATCCTGAAAGTATATATAATGCTAGCTATTATTATAATCACCACTTTTCCTCCCCTGACCATATTCATAGAGAAAAACATTAAAGAGGAGAGCAGGGCTCACCTTCACCTACTGTCCTCATCAAACTACCATAGCTATTGGCCCCATAGTTTTAGGACAGAAGAAAACAAAATAGGGAATCAAACTCCAAAAACTCAGTATTCTCTGTTACTGGGAAGTTTATGTAAAGTGAGAAATAATGAAGAGTTAAGGATGCCTTTGAGGATAGGATGTTGGGTGGCCACAAGGATAAAAGTGGAATCTAAAGAAATAAGGAAGTTTGTAAGAGGGGTGGATTTGAGAGAAAATTAGCTTCATTTTGTACATGTTGAGCTGAAGGTAGATAGGGGACATCTAGTGTCAGTTAAAATGCATTCTGATTGCATGTGAATCTGATGGTTTGACAATGCTCTGTTGTACTACGTTTGCTAACATACATGATTTTCCTTTCTATCCTAAGATTTTAATTTAAAGACACTTAGAATGAGTGTGAAAGTAGTCTGGGAAGACACATCAAAGTTCAGAAATCCTTGATAGGTTAATTGTATTTATATTTTCTTTCGCTTGGCTGGGACCATTTGACCACTCTGCATTACAGAAAGCACTATCTGGCACATGTCATATTGTCTCTGTCACTGGCTGCCTTTTCTTAGAAATTGATGGTTATCTTTCCTTATTTCCAATTCGTTATCAGTGTTTCCTCTCAAAGGCCTGCTGCATAACCAAGCAGACTGTTAACTCTGTCCATAGGATACTCTTTAGGCAAGCAAAAGTTTGGATGCTGCAAATCTTCTTTTACTCACTTGTCTAAACTTTACACCAGTCATTATTTTTCCCTTTGGCTTTAGGCATTGAAGATTCTTATTAAAATAGACTTAGTCAGAAATTTTCTCCTTTGGACAATTTGATTTATAAGTAAATTAACAAAAATGTAAGCTGCACAAATTAGGTTATTGTCCATGAAAGTCAGGTTCCTGGAGAACCTGGAAGAGGTTGTGGCAAAGAAGCTGTCCTGGTATCTCTAGTGTTACAGGTGATAGTTTTAGGAAAGAATCGTCTAGAAAAAGAGAGACATAAAGGAAGAAGGAGAGAGAAACTGACCTTGTCTTTTTCATAATTGAATCCATTGATAGCTCTGATCTTCTAATTATGGTTTCTTCCTCGTTATCCAGGTTAACCTTGACTTTCACACCAAAGAAATAATTTTTAAGAGCATCTCCCAACCAACCATCCATAGTTTCGATGCTGCCCAAAGCAGAGTGTATCGTCTTATGGAACAAGATAGCTATACACGCTTTCTGAGATCTGACATCTATTTGGACTTAATAAATGGAAGACCCCTCAGAACAACAAATCTTCGAAGGCGATCACGTTCCTTTACTTTCAATGAATTTCCAGATGAAAAGCCAGATCTTGCCATTTGGCTATAAAAAAAAGAAAAAAACATTCTTAATTTTACTCATATATCATAGTAAGCTATTCCTACTTGACTCATACAATGTTGACTATTAATATTAATAAATTTAATCAACTGTAATTTGTCATATGGGTAAATTTTAAAAACATAATTTAGAACACTTCTCATAGAAAAGGGATGCAATATAATAAGTATTGTGTTCATATATACCTCCATTTAAAAAATTCTTTCCTTTTAATATATAATTTTCAAAAACTGGAATTATCTTTAATGTATATATGAAGAGTGATTATACATTCAGTAGGATCAAGAGGAGAAGATTTGCAAAAACTTAACAATAGTTTATAAAATGTATATTTATACATAAATGCATATATTCCACATTTTATATTAAATTAATAAAAGATAATATTCATAGAAGCAAGATGAAATAGGAAATAGAGGGGATAGCCTTTAAGTAAATAAAACCCGGGTTTAATTCCTGCCTCAGGATAAGATTAGGGATAGGGGATAGAAACTGGACCTGTGATGTCGCTGATGAAGGAAACTCCTGAATGTGTAAATTCCCTCTACAATGCAGGTCTGAACATTCTCTGCTATAATGCTATAAGTAGCATTTTTTTCAAAACTTTGTGATTATAATCTATATTCCCTTGAATAAATCATATAAACATATGCTTTTATTTTAGAAATATTTAATTGTCAATGTGTGTTGCATGGTATTAATGTCTATATTTGAATGATGCTATACAATTAATTTTCACATTTTCATGTACTTGAAATGCAGACAAAAATTTAAAAATTTCTGTTAAAAATTTCTTTATCTTTATTGCTCATTTTACTTTGATTTATTACATTCTAGAACTAGTTATTGTTCACTCACTATCAATTAAATTTAATATGCATGCAATTATTATTATTACAAATTATAGAACATATTGAGTTTTTCCATCACTGATTTAAATAGTAAGTCAACCACCTGAGGCTATTTTGTAAAGTGGCACCATTTATCTTTTTGCCTTTCCAAGATACCTTCTAAATGACAAGTTTTGTATTTGTGGTTTTCTCCTATTTATTGGTCTTTTCATTTGTAAGCCACAATTATTGCTCTTTATGCACCTAGCAGAAACTTGATGATGGCCAGCTATACCCTCATTCACCTGGCATGGATGAAGATCAACAACATGCTTCTCAAATCCTGATCATTCTGGTTATGGGGTAATAACCTTCAGAATCTATCAACTGTTCATCAATAAACACTGAGTCACCAAAGCGTCCTTGGCAATATCCTAGGTGTGGTGGAGTTTTTGTTCAATATTACCCTTGTTTCAATGAACTTGTTGTCTTGGGGAGATGGCAGATACCAAAATGAACAAATGGACAGATTGAATAAGAATCTACAAGATTAATTCAAAATACATGAATGTCCTAGACACATAACATCCTCTGAAAACAACTTTCTTTTTGTCTTTGTATGTCCAGTGCCTGTAATAGATGCTTATTCATATTGAATTGAATTACATAAACCATGATCTCAAAATGACACCTTTGTGAAAATACAAATGGACATCTATGTAGGTATGCATACATTTATGTATGTATGTATGTATGTATACACCGAAATTTAACATGAGTTATTTGCCATATTCAGATTTTCTATGAATTCAATGCATTTCTATCATCCTCCATAATGTCTGAGCCCAGGGAATGATTATCAGCATCTAGGTGGTACAGTAGATGAAATAATGGTCTGGAGTCAAGAAGAACTGAGATCAAATCTGGCATCAGATGCTAGTTGTGTGATTCTGAGCAAGTCACTTAACCAATATTTGCCTTATTTTCTTCAACTATACAAAGGGTATCATAATAGTACCTACTTCCTAGAGTTGTGAGGATCAAATGAGATATTTGTAAAGCTCTTAGCACATGCCTGGCATGTAATAGGTGTTCAATATTTATTTGTTCCTTTCCCCCTTCCCTAATCCCTAAAGACTATGTGGCTCAGATTGAGAGGACAGTTGTGGAAAGGAGAAGGACCATGTGGGGAAGGTTATTCATGAGAGAAGTGTCATGAGTATTACTCACTATGGGGATGAGGAAGGTAGACACCCATGAAACTGCTTTGATTGTTTCTAAGAAAAAGAATAAAACAGAGGAAACTGAGAAATGGAAATGACCTCCTGCTGTGAGAGGGAAAGCTGATTGCCAACAGGCTATCAATAAGATAAAAGGTGCTGAGATTTTCTACCCAATAAACAGGTGCAGTGAAGCAGCAGACACTTTCTCACCTAGAAGCAAGAGTCTTCCCAGGAACTGTGACCTGACAGTTTCCCCTCTATTCATTTAGGGATGATATAGTCATGAATCCATGAGGGGTGGGAGAGAAGGAAATACTTACTATTAAGTGCCTACTACTTACCAGGCATCGTGTTAAGTGCTTTACAAATATTATCTCATTTGATCCTCACAACAAGTCTGAGATATTCCATTGTACAGTTCAGGAAACTGAGGCAGACAGAGAATAGGTCACTTTTCCAGGTTCACACAGTTAGTAAATATCTGAGCCATATTTGAATTGAGGTCTTCCAATCCAATTCAATCCAATAAATGTTTAAGTGTCTGCTCTGTATAAGGCATTGTGCTAGAGACACAATAAAAATAAAAATAGAACCTGACCTCAAGGATCTTACAATTTAAGGAGCAGACAGCAAACAAAAGGACACAGGAAATCAGAGGCAGAGCAAGGGGAAATGGGACCACAGGGGATACCTGGCATGGAGGCATCTTGGTTCCATGGAGGGCAGCAGATGCAAAACGGAGCAATCTGAGTCAAGTTTCTGTCTTCTATAAAGAAAGGCATTGGGACGAGTTTGGTTCTCCACCCTCTACCCTTCCAGAAGTGAGAGAAGGCTGAGGGAGGTGGCAGCAGTTGAGGCTTGAATTAATAGCATGGTGATGAGTTTAGAAATGATAGGCTTATGCTGGGAGGGGCATCTTGTTTCATGGAGTTGAAACCAGGCCAGGCAGCTGACGCAAAGCAGAGAGGTCTTCCTGACTCCGGGCCCCGTGCTTTATCCATTGTGCCACATTGCTGCCTATAGTGTAACTGGAAGCAATCTCCGAAGTCCAAGTTTCTTCTTTTACAGATAAGGAAACTGAGTTCAGAAAGATTAAGCATGTTGTTCCAATCCACATAGGTAATAAGTATGAGAGCCAAAGTTTAAATCCAGGTCCTTTGCTCCCAGGGACAATGCCCTCTCCATTTGACCACATTTACTGCACAGACATCTACATTTCTCTGTGAAGATTACCTGATTACATTTACTCTAATTCTTTCCTAATTATTATAATCTCAATTAAATATTTTATTAATAAAATGGATATGTTTTGTTTAGTCTCAGTGTTATGTACAGACATTTTAGATGATTTAAAGGTGCCCAGTTGATCTGGGCTGGGGAATTAAGCGAACCGAGGTACGCATCCCAAAACATGTCACATTGTACTCAATAATTCTAAGAAACTCTATAATGGAGTAAAAAGTGGGTAAACTACATAAGTATTATTTGGTATATGGGTGGGAATGGAGGACAGAATGGTATAACCTATACTTGGCGCAATGTGAAATACTGAAAGTACAGGTAATTTGGGTGTAGATAGCTATTACTGTTTTTAGCTAGCTGTGCTTCATCAGGGAACATTTCCAAAAGGAAATGGATTTTGAGTTGGATTCTACAGGAATAAAAGTGGTCTAGTGGAAAGAGTACTAATGCTAGAATCAGTTCAAATTCCATCTCTGCTGCGAATGTGAAAGGTGGACTTTTTTTCTTTCCAGAGCCCAAGACCTCTCCCTTCTCCACATCCTGTTGTTGATTCTTTGGCCATCATAGTCATTTCCTTTCCTCCCAGACCGTGAGCTACTTCCTCTGCTTCTACTGCTTTATATGTTTCCCCCATTAAAGTGTAAACTCCTTTATATTTGTATCTTCTAAGCTTAGCATCATCTTTGGAATATGGTAAGCATTTAATAAATGTTTCATCCATGCATCAATCATCTATCTTTCATTTATCTATTGACATAGCTTTGGTCAACTTACTTAACCTCCCTGAATCTCAGTTTCCTCATCTATAAAATGAAAGAGTTGGGCCTCTGAAATCCTTTCTAACATTTGATTTATGATTCTCTGAAAAGGACCAAGGAAAATAGGATCTAGGTGAGACTGGTTATTCTAAGCATGGAAAAATGTAGATATGTATCGATTGTCCACAAAGGTCATCCTGACTAGAGTGAAGGATATAGGAAAAATCTATTTGAGGTGCCTGCTAGCATGTTCTTTGAGGCAATGTGGACAATGGGCCATAGAGAGAAGTAAATACCTAATCTAATCAGTGATTACAGATACTTGAGTGTTTCACAGAAAGATAAGATACTTAAAAGAAATGTAAGATGTTATGCTTAAGCAGATCAAAGATTTTGAATTGTGACTTTACTTTTTTCCCCAAGCTAATTTAGGATATCTGTGGGTAGACTTCTATAGGATTTAAACCAATAAATACTTCATCTTTATGACTTATTCTTTTACTTTTATTTGGCTAAGTAGCTACCATTGCTGCTTACAAAGAATTACAACTCAATCAAATTTAACGTACCTTTACCTAGGGTAGGAAGTGATGACCGTTAATTGTCATAGCTAGGCCTATGTGATTTGAATATTCCCATCACTGGCAAGGAGTAAACAGTAAGTAAACTTGAATGCTTTTCCACTTTTTCCTTAGACTAGTTTGGGCTAGACTTTTGAGAAAAGGTTGCCTATATCAAGAGATGAAAAGGACAATTGGGTTAAGGTGATTTTCTATCATCATATCTCCAAATAAAATCCAAGCTTTTTAATGTGCTTGAGCACAAGACATAAATGAAGGTGCAAATTAGGGAGGATGGAGGAGGGAAGTGCTCTTTATGGAGACCCAATGGCACTGCTCATGGATGAGTCTCTATGTATGCAGAGACTAATATGTTGTGAATACTGTGGACCAGAGGAGGAAATCTCTGACCATTCATAGCTACAGCTTCCCTTTAAGGTCTAGGATACCTAAAAGAAAGGTGACTGTCCTTGACAGAATTAAGATACTAGGAGAAGACAGTATTTATGACCATGGCAGCACAAAACTGTGAATAACTTTTATTAGGGCACATCAATAAACAGACAGAATCAGCATGGAGGCCATACCAAGTAAAAAAAAAAAAGGGCAACAGACCATACCAACTAGAGGCAGAAACAGGCCTTGTGGAATTCAAAGAGGACCTTGGTAAAAAAAAATTCCCCTGGTAAAACACTGAAGAACATGTAATTGTAGCTCTGAAAATGGAAGAGGACTTCATCTTGTCCAACCCATTCATTTTACAAATGAAGAAAATGAGATCCAGAGAAATTAAGTGAGTTTCCCCATGTTTTAGTGAAAAAAAGAATTTGCAGAGACAAAATCTGAATCTAGGACATTTGACTTCAAATCCAATACTCTATTTAATATCAATGTTTACTTTATGGAATACTGAAAATCTGTGTAGCAGTTGAATTTTAGCATCCTGTGATTTCCCTGTTGCAGAATGTACAATATTTATCATTGCTCACTTGTTCTAATAAGCCTTCATTTTAATATGTGGTAGTTACCATGCTTGTAAACTTGTAAATTGGGGAGACTGTACCAGTGTTTTGGACTACTGAGTAGAAAGATTTTACAAGTTTTCTATCAGGGAGTTGTAGTCTCAAGGAGTGTGATATCCTCTAAAAGAACCCAGGACCTTGATGCAATCAGCCAGCTGTGAAAAATGGATTACATACGTACAACATATTGAAGGAGGAACTTCTAGTGAAATATTTTGAACAATTCCCTTTAACTAATCCCAGAAATGCCTCGTACTACTGACTTAAATTGATGATGAGGGTTATTTGAATTTAGTAATGTGTTAAAAAAAACTTTTATAGATTTGTCATTTTATCAAAAGTAAAGATAGTGCTTATTTAAAATCAGAAAACACTTTATGATATTTCAATTGAGTATGAAAATATTATGACATTATGATGAGGGCAAAAATTGATCTTAAGACACAGGACAAATTTAGCTTATCATCTCTGCATAATGCAGCCCAATTACTATCACTTGGCGGAATGGGGAGATATGGAGAAAAGCCAGAACGTGTATTTGGCAACTTGAATAGCTTCCTAATTACCATCCCTGCATCCAGCTTCTGCCCTTGCCAATCCATCCTGCACACAGCTCTCATTTTACTC